GCACTTGACTGCTAACCAGAAGGCTGGCAGTTCAAACCCACCAGCCACTTCTTGGAAGGAAGATGGGGCAATCTACTTCCGTAGTGATACTGCCTCAGAAACCCAAGGAGGGGTCGCTATGAGTTGGGTCCAACTTGACGGCACATAATAACAACAACAACAACAACCAGGTATCAAGTTAGAAGTAAGAAATATAAGCTGGAATGCTGATAACAGTAAATATTGTCAGTTGAATAGTATGAAGAATCAGGTCAACTGTGAAAAGAAAAAGAGAAAAATGCCTTATTTTAGGTATTGAAAGATTATAATACCGTTCATGCAATTAGCCTAGGGCACTTGAAGGAAGTTGCTTTGCAAATGTCAGCACTTCAGTGTACTGTCATGTTAGATAGTATGCCAAAATGAATGACCCTAATAAATACCTAGAGCCACTGAGAAAGTGTATGAAATTTTATTAATAGGTTACCTAACAGGATGGGTAAGGAGCTCTGGTGTCGTAGTGCTTAGGGTATTTGACTGCTAACCAGAAGGTTGATAGTTCAAACCCACCAGCCACTCCGTGGAAGGAAGATGGGGCAATCTTCTTCTGTAAAGGTTTACTGCCTTGGAAACCCAGTGGGGGTTGCTATGAGTTGGAATCAACTTGATGGCAGTGAGTTTTTGAGTTAACAGGATGAATAACATTTGTGAAGGATTTACATAACGAAGTAAATCTTTAGCTTTCTGCAGAGTTTAACCTGAAATAACAACTGAATCATTCCCTAAGTTTTGGTAGCTAGACTTCTAATTCTATAGTGGGGCCAATTTATATACTCACTTAACAAATTCAACTATATGTGTTCAAACAACAGCAATAAAGTTAGAAAAGAAAAGGGGGAGTGAGGTGAGAGAATGTAGACAATTCTCTATTGTTACCCTGACAGTTTTTGCCCCAGATTGAAGGTGTGATGGACTCAGTCTGTGTTCCTCTTTTTATGAGATGTTTTTAGGACTTTTTCTAGAGTAACTTTGACTATATGATTTTTATCTTCTGCTTTGATGTTAGAACCTAATTGTCACATAAGACTAAGATGTGATTACACTGTACTTTGTTAATTTAGAGCATTTGAAGGCATACTTCTCAATACTGCTTTTAACTAGATGAAATATGTTCACATTCTTCATTGTACCTTAGGAGATACATGATGGCTTTTGACATTAAAATTACTACATTGAAAGTGCCCAAATCATTTTCTCTTTCTAGTGTGCAATACTGAGGTGTTTTTTTTTTTTTTTTTTTTTTAACACAGAAATTGGAACAGAACAACCAACTTAAATTGTTGCTAAAATGAATCATAGGAAGGTATATGTGATTAGCTAAAGAAATGAATTTCCTTATAAATACCATGATTATTTTTAACATGAGTTAAAATTTCAAATTATTACATCTTTGAGAATAAAAAATGTTTAAACTTTAACTATTAAATATTATTCACTAATTTAAAAGTTATCAAATGATTACTGACATTTTATATTCAAGATAAAATCAGATCACTATTCTTACTAATGCCAGTGACTTCAGAGGGTAGTCCAGTATTTTAGATCTTGAAAAATGGAAAATAAAACTAACATTTTATGAATACACCCACTGTGCACATGTTAAGTAAAGGTTTTTCTGTACTTCCAGAAAGAATTCAAGATTATGCTCCAGCTTTCACAATGTTGGGGTACTTAAGTGAACATTTACTGCTGAAAAAACAAGCAGCAGAAGCATACCAAAGGTAAACTATACACTTAACTGGAATACTTAGTCCTTATTTATCAGTTGACATTTTTTTAGGTAGTCTTGTTCTTGAGACTAAATAAATGTTCTGACTCCTTTCTTGATCTTTCATATGTATTATTGGATTGTGGAGAGGGAAAAGATGGAGTCCCAACTTCTCAGCTATATTTTGGTTTCTGTTACATAACCTAAAAGGAAGAAAGAAAAAAGTAAAATGAAAAACTCTTTGGATTTTTTTTTTTTTTTTTTTTAAGAAAAATCTGTCCCCTTAGAACTTTTCTAGGCTTATTAAATACATGTGTTTAACCAGAGGAGAAATGAGAATTTATGACATATTCATTTAAATCATTTTATTATCTACTACATGTTTTTCATTCAGCTGATATTTGTTGATGTGCAGTATATCAGGCATTGGTATCTTAGCAATGATTTAAAACAGACACAGGCTATATTCTGATGGAATAAGAATTCTTGTTCTCTGGTATGGGGATGTGGTATAGTGAATTACATAGTATGGCTTTTCTAGCCATAGTCCTTGTAATTCCCACTGGATTACTGGGTAGGCCCATGCAATTTAAACTACTGATTGTTAAAGTTATCCACCTGGGGTATTTTCTGTTGGAGCAGCACAAAGTAATCTTCTGGGAAGTTTGCACTCTCTCAAATGTGTAGAATTCTGATGTTGAGATTGGTTGATTTTGCCTCTGCCAGGCTCAAAATGAGCCTTCCTAGAGGCAGAAGGAATCTCTCTGACTGCTGGCTGAGAGACATAATGCTACTGAGACAGATATGCTGCTGAGAGAGAGGTGCTGCTGAGAGAGATGCGCTGCTTAGAGAGATGGGCTGCTGAGAGACAGACTGCCAGCTGAGAGAGAGAAACTGGCAGCTGAGAGACTGCTGGCTGAGGGACTGCCGGCTGAGATAGAGACTGAGTGCATTCCTGAACTAGAATTCTAGCCTGTTGCTTTCCTAATAGACCCCATAATCTGTGAGTTCTGTGTGGCCATGGCAGCGAATTATGGAACCCAGCAGAGAGGTGGTGGGTGCCATGAGAGGGATGGTTGGTGTCAAGGATGGTAAGTGGGCTAGAGGGTGGCCTCATAAGAACAGGCCTTGGGCTGCTGATATTGATTCTGTCCTCCTCTTGTAGAGTTAGAGGCAGTCAGAAGTTGCCACCTCCTTGCCCCTTTAACAGTTGGTGTCAGAAGCAGTGGGATTCCTTGCAGGGGCTCCAGACTCATAGAAGCATGAGACTTTGTAAAAGAAAGAAGGAAGGAGCCTGGGAAGTAAAATTTTGGATTCTTAGATGGTTACTTTGGTTGGTGTTACCTATTAAAGGAGATAACTGATCCAGAGGCTAGGGCTTTTGGTCACATTCACCCAAAGGCCCAAGGCCATATACATAGAATGGGAAGATAATCAAGGTGAAGAGATGAAACTGGAATGTCTTTAAAAGGATTAGGTATTATGGATATTGAATGTTCTCTTACCTACTTGTATGTTAGAAATGATTATGTTGTTGTTGTTATGTGCCATCGAGTCAGCCCCGACTCATAGCGACCCCTCCTTGGGTTTCTGAGGCAGTATCACTATGGAAGTAGATTGCCCCATCTTCCTTCC